TGGCCTATCCCGGTGCACGTGGATTCCAGGTGGCAATCGACTTCTGTTGGCACGAAATGCTTCCAGAGTTGCGGCCGCCGTGTGTGAAGATGGGAAGGTTATCTTTATTAGACGGGGTCTAGAATCGCCATCCTTCTTGGCTAGTCTCGTAACATGCTGAGTCAGTATATTTGTGAGCCTCAAGGACTGTTTGATGAATTTCCATTTCTTGTTGTCAGAGTTTGATTGAGTAGGGTCCGTATTTTCCGGTATACCCTGCTCGATTATATTCCTCCTGCCGAAAAACTGATCACGAGTTTTTTTAGGGATGTTTCGGATGAGATTGCGCTCAGAATACGCTTGATCAGGCAGTATTCTTACATTCCCAACCTCTACGTCGGTAGCATTCTTAAGTGTTACACGAAGTAGCCTCGGGTGATTATGATGCTTAGATTGCTTTCCCCGAGTGAGCCGTGTGACTGCCAAAGGCTCTATTCTTGGAAGTCCAAGTTTCTTGTTCAATTCTCCCCAGAGCATCTTATCATGTTTTTCCTGCAAACTGAGAGGAAGGTCAGGATTGTCTTTGAAGTTCATGTGAGAGTCGTCACGAACCGTTATTGTCGTCCAATGTTTTTCGCTGCGTTTAGGCTTAGCACCTTGTTGTTTGGGGGTCGAAGCACGTTTATGAATCCTTGGCTTTTTGATGACCGGAGGGACAATCTTGGGGGTAGACTGTGCGACCAGATCACCAGTTGACTTCCGTTCAGCAGCTGGGATGTTCAACTTAGACTGTGACGCCTGGCCCTTTTTAGCTCTTTTGACATGGGTCCAATCACCTACAGAGTGTTTGGGAACCACTGTCGCGTTCAAGGACCTTGAGTTGTGAGACCCAAGTTTTCTGAGGGAGTCGAGTACCGTCGTCGTAATCATGGTGCTGAGTTTCAGCGTGTCATCAATGATGCTGTTGCTTGCTACGTCGTTGGTAGACCTATCGACATCCCTGTTTTCGTTTTTAATGCGCTCTCTTGTTTTTCTGCCCATTTTTTGACTGTCTTTTCCCAAGTTTGCCGACAACTTACTCTGCAGACCTGTTAGTAGGACAATGATATTACTCAGCAAGACTGCAGCATCCGTGCTGCACGTGACGCATTCCCACTTATGATCCGACTTGCTGAGTCTGTTATAAGCAGTTGCTGTGACGTCTGTGCATGCTTCGTGGAACCAACCATTGCAGTTTACGCACTGCATGCCAGATGTAACAGCAAAACGGCATCCACGTCGTTTGCATGAATTTTTCATGACTATAATAACGTAAACTGTGTAGATGCTAGCAAAAGACTAAGACCGTAAAAAAAGACACTAAAAAGCACACTGAAAACGGACAAAAATGGATAAAAACGTATGGGATGAACTGAACTAGTCTTAACGTGAAAAATTGGAAAAAAATAGAATAGTAAGCTGAGGCGAAACCACAGTTAACTATTAAATGGAGTGAAACTCAAAAAAATAATCTAATGAGCGTATAGCTCAGGATATATTCTTTTGGACAGAAATGGTGCTTTTGTTGCGTAAGAACACAGCAAAAGTTTGAAAAATGCAAATCACGTTAGGACTAAACTTCCCGTTCGAACACTTGTCTTTATGCTACACCCCTACCTTGTGTGAATGACTACTTACTTACTTTTTACTTACGCCTGTTACTCCCAATGAAGCATAGACCACCGACCAGCATTCTCCAACCCACTCTGTCCTGGGCCTCCTTTTCTAATTCCATCCAATTCTTGTTCATCTTTTTCATTTCTATTTCCATTTTTCGGCGTAATGTGTTCTTTGGTCTTCCTCTTCTCCATTGGCCTTGAGGATTCCATGTGAGGGCTTGTTTTGTGACGCAGTTCGGTGCTTTCATCAATGTGTGTCCTATCCACTTCCAGCGCTTCTTCTTGATTTCCTCCTCCGCTGGGATCTGGTTTGTTCTCTCCCACAGTACGTTGTTGCTAACAGTGTCCGGCCGACGGATCTGAAGTATTTTACGTAGACAACTGTTAATAAACACCTGTATTTTCTGGATGGTTGCTTTCGTAGTTCTCCAGGTTTCCGCCACATACAGTAGAACTGTCTTGACATTTGTATTGAAAATCCTGACCTTGGTGTTGGTTGACAGTTGCTTTGAGTTCCAGATGTTCCTCAGTTGTGAATATGCTGCTCTTGCTTTGCCGATCCGCGCTTTCACATTTGCATCAGATCCACCCTGTTCATCAATGATGCTGCCCAATATGTAAAGGTTTTTACATCTTCCAAATCTTCTCCGTCAATTGTGATTGGATCGCTGCATGCTGCGTTGTATCGGAGACCCTTGCTCATCCCTTTGTGTATATTGAGACCTACTACTGCTTCGTCACTGGTCGTCTTCTCCTGCATTTGTTGTTGCGTTTGGGATAGAAGGGCTAGATCATCTGCGAAGTCCAGATCGTCCAACTGCATCCTAGATATCCATTGTATCCCGTGTTTCCCTTCAGATGTTGACGTCTTCATGATCCAGTCGATCACCAGGAGAAAGAGAAAGGGTGAGAGTAAGCAACCTTGCTTAACACCGCTCTTCACTTCGAACGACTTTGTCAACTGTCGTCCATGGAAGATTTTGCAGTGTAATCCATCATATGAATTCTGTATGATATTGACTATTTTTTGAAGTACACCGTAGTGTCGAAGAAGCTTCCATATTGTTGTTCTGTCCATGCTATCAAATGCCTTTTCGTAGTCAATGAAGTTGATGTAGAGTGATGAATTCCATTCAATTGATTGTTCCACAATGATCCGTAGAGTTGCGATTTGGTCTGTACACGATCTATCCTTACGAAATCCCGCCTGTTGGTCACGAAGTTGGGCGTCTATGCAGTCCTTCATCCTGTTTAACAATACTCTGTTGAAGACTTTTCCCGGTATTGAGAGAAGAGTGATGCCCCTGTAGTTATCACAGTTGCTGAGATCGCCTTTCTTCGGTATTTTGATCAGAAGTCATTCTTTCCAGTCTTTTGGTACTTGTTCCTCATCCCAAATCTTATCAGAGAGAATGTGGAGTACCCTTGCCGTTGCCGCTACGTTTGCTTTCAGTGCCTCTGCTGGAAAGTTGTCTGGTCCTGCTGCTTTGCCACTCTTGATTTGTCTGATGGCCATGCTGATTTCTTCAATTGTTGATGGGCCAGCGTTGATTGCGAGGTCCGTGGGTGCTGCTTCGATGTTGGGTGTGTTCAGTGGAGCTGATCGATTCAAGAGTTCTTTGAAGTGTTCTACCCACCTGTTTTGTTGCTCTTCAATGTTGGTGATTACCTCACCTTCCTTGCTTTTCACTGGTTGTTCTGGTTTACGGTGATTTCCAGAGAGTCTCTTTGTTGTGTCATACAGTTGTCTCATGTTTCCTTCTCTTGCAGCCTTTTCCACCGTCTTTGCTAGATCTTCCACGTATTTACGTTTGTCGGTTCTGATGCTCCTCTTCACTAGTTTGTTTACTTATGTGTATTCAGCTTGTGCCTTGGCTTTTTCTGCTCTTGTTCAACTGGTATTGATTGCTGCCTTCTTGTTTCTCCTTTCTTGAATCTTATCCAGTGTATCAACAGTGATCCATTTCTTGTGATGGTGCTTCTTGTGACCCAGGACCTCATTACATGTTGAAGTGATTGCCTCTTTGATCCCCTTCCAGTTGCTCTCCATAGTAGTTCCCTCTCCATTGAGTAGATCAGGAAAGGTCTGGAACTTATTGCTGAGGACTACCTTGAATTTGTTGAGTTTGTCAGTATCCTGAAGAAAGGCCATATTGAACTTTTGTGATATTGTCCGCCCCGTTGTCCAGTGCTTCCTGAGTTTCGATTTCATCTTGGCGACCAGCAAGTGATGATCTGATGCTATATCAGCTCCTCTCTTGGTTGTCATGTCTTCCATCGTCCTCCTGAACTTTTTGTTGATGCAGATATGGACGATTTGGTTTGTGTAGCGTGATTCGGTGAAGTCCATGTGGTTTTTTGAATGCGTTTGTGTGGGAACATAGTGCCACCTATGACCAGTTTATTAAAGGCACATAGGTTTGCGAATCTCTCACCATTTTCGTTCCTTTCTTTCAGTCCGTGTCGTCTCATGATGCCTTCATATCCAGTGTTGTCCGTTCCAACCTTGGCATTGAAATCTCCCATCAGAATGGTCAGGTCCTTTGTTGGGCACTTCTTGACGATTGACTGCAGCCTATTGTAGAATTGATCTTTAGCGTCTTCATTGTAGTCGTTAGTAGGCGCATAGCATTGGATGATGTTCATTGAAATGCCCTCTTTCTTTGTTTTGAATGAGGCTTTGATGATCCTTGGTCCATGAGATTCCCATCCTGTTAGTGCATTTTGTGCTTGTTTGAACAGCATCAGTGCAAGTCCTTGTGAATGTGGAGCATTTTCTTCTTCATAGCCGGAGTATAACAGAAGCTCTCCTGAAGTTAGTCGTTGTTGTCCAACTTGCGTCCAATGTGTTTCGCTGATCCCAAGTACCTCTAGATTGTATCTTCTCATTTCTGCAGCAATTTGGAGGGCTCTCCAGGTGTCCCACACTGTACGAACATCCCATGTACCTAAATAAACGGTTGCTCTGGTTATCAGAAGGGGCATCGGCCTCGTAACTTCCGAAGGAATTCGGCTTTCATCATGAGGCGTCATAGTTCTTCTAAATGAAGACCTTCTGACTCCCAGGGCAGAGGTTAAAAGGTTTGAATAATTCTTTCTGGTTAGCGTTTTTTTAGCGAGTAAGTTTTCTACAGGATGGGGACGCTAACCCCATGTCCAACCCTCCTCCTTTATCCGGGCTTAGGACCGGCAGTAGCCCCCGGATGGACTCCAGGCGGAGTTTTGTGGGAATGACTGAGTATCCGAAAATCAAGCACGATAATATTCTTTAAAGCTATAAATGACATTAAGTATGACTGGCATACGATTCTCATCAATAATAATTAAAGTATATGGTTTCTTCGGGTTGAAGTTGAACATCGTACGTTTTAAACCGCGTATTTAACAGTAGTGCCAACATACGATGGATTTCTATGATCATGGATACGAAGAGAACAAACTGTAAGTGTGCTGTAAAAGTGAAGTGAAATACTAGTAATTTCAACGAGTCAGGGTTTGAATTCAAATTTTACAGCTTATTGCGCGGGGTTGGAGTGCTTTTCATTCACTAAAGTTACTTTAGTTTAAAGTACCTGTTTATCGAGATTCATAGTCGACGATTAGTCTGTGTAATCAGTTTTTCGTAGGAGAGATTTAGTTACCGAGTTTTATGGATATTTTTGCCTTTGCTGATGCAAATATGAGATGGTCATTGTTTCATACCGAGACACGAAATTATGCATTGTGTTCAGATTCTTAAGTTGTAATCACTGTACTAAGTATGCATTATCCCAAGATTCCCAAGCAAACATAATTTCAGAGAAGTCTGGTTCTTGGGGTTTTCTGGCTTTTTTACACAAGAATAAGAAATGATAAGAATGTAACTTCAGTTTACTTCCTATGTAAATCTGGGTTCTTACTTTTTATATTTCGAATTCGATTAGTTTTGCGTTCCACTCATATGCTAATCATTCGTTGTCTTATCACTCCACATTTTCGCATGCTCTTACATCATTTTGATGGTATTACCTCTACTTAAACTTTTATAAGATGCATACCTCTCAATTTTCCTTACAAGTAACATTTGTTGGATTTTTTGCACATATTCAGTCTCCCTTTGCTTGTAACACAATGAACCATTTTAAGTGTTTTCATGGCATACGTATGATACAGATTGAATAAACAACGGGCGAGAATAATTTGTGGACAAACCAATCACGTATAACAGGTCTCGGGTTTTCGTTCGAAATTCACTTTAGCTAAATAGAGTTTCGACATTATAAATGATGTCAGTTCGTGATAAAAACCATAAATCTAGTTTTTAACCTTAATCATCAACTAAATCATAATTCCAGTTTTTCACACAGGCTTATAACCCTATTTGGAACTTATTATTGGGTGGACACTCTCAAGGTAAGTCTAGCGTCGCTCATAGGTCGTCCATAAACTATAGTCTAACCGAAGCACGAGTAAGATTTTGTCCTGAATCATCATACTTATAAGATACGATATGGTTTACCATATCCACTGACATTCACATGATCAAGCTATAACAAATTTTTGGGTAGTTAATTTCGGGATGAACATAAGATGGTTGCTCCAAATCACCGTAGGTTTGTCGGTTTTAGTTTCTATAGATAGTAAACTTGTTTGGTCATTGCATTTACATTGTTACGCAAATGAAATAAACTAGAAGTAGTCCGGCGTGGGATAGATTGTTTATCACTTTTCCATTTTTTAAATAGTCTTGTCACTATTCGTGAAGTTCATTGTGGACTGAGTAGACATATTTTTGTGTATTCATGCCAACGTACTGGTAGTGAACTTACATAACGTCTACTACTTTTTGGCTTATAGAAATTTCTGTCCTTTGGAATTAAGCTTTTGCCTTCTATCCTAGATCCTTTTATTTCTCACAACTTTTTAGTGGGATGACCGTAACGAGTGGTTGTGTGAAACTTAAAAAGGACCCACAGAATCTAGTGGGTATAAGTATTGGAGGGGGAGCCCCATACTGTCCGTGCCTTTATGTTGTTCAAATATTCGACTCCACACCAGCTTCAGAAGATGGTAGTCTTCAAGCTGGGGACGAAATAACTGGTGTCAATGGTATATCTGTAAAAGGCAAGACGAAAGTGGAAGCTGCGCGACTCATTCAAAGTTTCAAGGTAGGTGTTAACTTTGTTTACCCCACCTAATCGTATTGTTTGTGATATTGTTACCTTCTTAATTAATTTATGTGCTTCAAGTAATAATGCATTAGTGTTAAGGCTTTATTAGATATATGAACCTCAAAAGCTTATTTTAAATCTTGTGATTGTAGGGCTTGGTCAGAATAACTTTAAATCGTTCAATCTTAGACGGTTACAAAATCAAGGAACTCTCATGGTGTTATGTTCTTGATCATTTTCATCTGAGATTGTACTCATCTTGTTCTCATGTCTCTTGGCAAAATAGTAGCTATAATTCCCAATTAAACCAGTTTTCAAATAAAGCATTTCTGTTTTACATGCTGTGGGTCCCACTTTTCTAAAACCGACCTTTATCCAATATAATTAGTAGTTTAGGAAAACCAAAATTACTTTATACAGTTTCGAATTTTTGGAACGTGTCAACCTGAAACCTTAAGCAAAACTCCTTCATTTGTTTTATTTTATTTATTTATTCAAATACGAACATTGGTAAAAGAAGGCACCAAATAGGTATGCGCCACATAAATCACTCGATTTGTGTGAGGGCTGGGATACTGCGCGGGTGCCCAAACTGGAGCAGGTGGCTTTCTTATGGGGTCACACCCAGAGCCTTTGACCTGAAAGTTTAATCCACAAGACAGTGGAGCATCGTGAGGAGATGCAATCCCATTGTAGCCGGTGACTAACGATTGGTTCATACTCCATCTGTTCCTTCAGCATATTGGAGCCCATGTGCAAGATTGGCTTGGAATCAGGGTTTTCCGATTCTCCTAGGTGGACTCTACGTGTCCACCGGACATTCGCTTTTGGTCCTCTCAGCTTCGTAAATAACACCCCCGCCACGAGAAGGTCGTGAATAGGACTTCCCTAGCAGTAGTTGTATGCACGTGGCCATGTGATAGCATTTCGAGAGAGAGCTGACTCTAACCATTCTCGGTCGTACCAGGGTATTTGGGGACCTCTTATTAGTTGATACCCATCGATTATAGTCAACCACAAGAGACAAACATTTCGATCTCAATAAGTTGTCGTGTGAGTCTCACTACCCATCTACTAGTGGTTTTGCAGTTCTTGCATTGATTGTAAACCATCGCCCAGTTTGGATAAAACAAAACGCCATCAAAACTAAATTAATATGACTCCCATCTCCTTTATCCCTTATCAGTTAACTTCTTTCGTGTGGGTTTTGATGAATTGCTATTAAATTCATCTCGTTACCCATTGTCTTATAACTTTTATATTCCCATACCTTTCCTCCCAGTTCGATGAAGTGTCTGCCATTATGCCTTCCTAAATGCTTCTACTTCGTCTGAAAAATCATAATTTATAGTGAAGCAATTTACAGTATTGGGTCGATATCTAACCAACTGTTCATAAACTGTAGCCGTATGATATACTTGTAACACAGTGATTTCCATCAGGATATGAAACATAGGGTCTCGTGTAGGACATAAGATTTAATCTGGAAATTACCATAAACAACGTAACACCATAAAAAGAGGGAGAATGAAGTTACTGACCATTAAGCAATAATGGTGAGGGTCATGATTCCAAGCCACTTATATTTGTGGGGCGGAAAATTTTCAGTGTAGGATTTTAGTTCTTTCCTCATCATATGCTTAAATAGTTCCGAGTTTTCTACCGAAAGGTAGTATATTTAAGGGAAATATAATCTATTGTGCAACCACGAAGTAGAATGTATTCACCAGGCTAACTTGTATCAATTGACGGAACTATTGATGTATAATATAAACCACCGACATCTTTGACTCACGATGTTAACTACAGCAGATTTTAGACCGATAGCAGTGTAATATTTTATTTTATTTGAACACATAAATATTGATACAAGAATGTGCCAATATATATACGCTACGCAAAACAATGAAAATTCGAAGAGATAGAAAAAGAAAAAAAAAACTAAGGAGCACAAAAGAAAAAGAGATTGGTGTAAGGTAGTGTGGTAGTAACGAGGGAACGGAAAGGTACAATCAGAAGAAATCTTTCAAGTAAGGGAGACACAACCACTTTTTATGAAGAAAGTAAAAGAAGGTTACAGCAGGATCGCCACTGGCTTCTATTCTGAGCCATATCTGATAACGTCTCTAGCCACTGTGTAGCACCATCTCTCAGACCCCAACCAGGGAGTCGTGAAGGACCGACAGAAGCCAGTTCTTTGCAGCTTTCTTTCATACCACGACACCATGTCTTGCATTGACCACCTCTCCGCTTCTTCCAACGAGTCCCAGAGTCGGCAAATAATGCACGACGTTGAATTCTCTGGGACGACATTCGTAGAATATGTCCAAGACACCGAAGTCGGTATCTTAAGATGGAGACACCAGTTGCATTATCGTCTCTGTGCCCGAACACACGATGCCGAACCTCTGCATTACTAACATGGTGTTGCCACTGAATGTCAGCAATCCTTCGGAGACAGCGATGATCGAACACAGAGAGTCGTCCAACATCGTCAACTCGGAGAGGCCAGGTTTCACAAGTATAGAGCAAAACTGCTCTCACCGACGCGTTGTAGATCCGACCTTTTACAGCCAGACTAACATCACGAAGGCGCCAAAGGTGGCCCAGATTGGCATAAGCCGTTCTGGCTTTCACAATACGTGCATTGATCTCATCACTCACACCCCCACCAGCACTTATGCAGCTACCCAGATACACGAACTTCTCGACTACTTCTATCTGCTTACCATCCAGGATGAGTACAGGATTGGAATCCTGCCAGTCTTGTAGAAGTACTTTGCACTTCGAAGGTGCAAAGCACATACCATACCTACGGACACTGATTACCAACTGATTAAGTGCGGATTGCATGCCTTGGGCATTATTGCACAGTAAGATAATATCGTCCGCATACTCAAGGTCGAGAAGTCTTTCTCCAGGCAACAGATCCACACCACCATTACCTGCATTCATCAGAGCTGTTTCCAGAATGTCACCGATGGTAAAGTTGAAGAGGAATGGTGAGATTAGGCAACCCTGCCTAACCCCACTACTCGAATGGAACAATGGAGAGAGGTGGTTGTATGCCCTCACTCTGCCTGAGGTGTTTTTATATAGGGCTTTTAGGATGTTAATAAACTTATCAGGCACACTCTTCTTCAATGGACAATCGCAGAGAACAGTCCTATCCAACGAATCGAAGGCGGCCCTGATGTCAAGAAACACTACGATTGTTGGCCTTTGATAAGTATGGCGATGTTCTAACATTTGGCGGAGGGTGAAGATATGATCAATACATCCTCGACCAGAACGAAACCCAGCCTGCTCCTCGCGAGTCAATCTTTCTCGGGTTTTGAACAACTTACGAAGTATGACGGAAGCCAATAGCTTGGACGCAATCGGAAGTAGACTTATCCCCCGATAGTTGTTGCAGGAACGACGTGAACCCTTTTTAAAGATAGGGACAAATATCGACTCATTCCATGACGTTGGTACACTCACTAACTCCCAAACCTTTGTAAACAATGTCGTCAGTTATTTGGTCAGAAAGTCACCACCATCTTTAAAAAGGGCTTTTGGTGGCGGTCACTTCGTCGGCCACTGAAAAGTAAGGCAAGATTGGCGCAGACCAAGGCATGGTCAGAGTCCAGATTGGTACTCCAAAAGGAGCGGCAGTCTTGTACACAACCACGCCAGCGGTAGCTGATCGCGATGTGTTCAATCTGAGTCCAGGCTTGGGATGCAGAGGGAGGACGCCAGGTGGCACATCGGCGATGACTGTGCCGAAAGTTAGTGCTAGCCAGAAACAGGTTGTGGTCTGTACAAAGTTGCAGTAGACGGTCCCCGTTATCTGACCTGCGACCAACGAGTCCCCATCGGCCACCTAAACGACTCTCTTTTGTGGCTAGATGCCCGACCTGAGCATTCAAGTCTTCGGCTAGTACTACAATATCTGTCGAACGCACTTTCTGGAGAAAAACAGGTAACTGGTGGTAAAACTCATCCTTGATTGCATCCGGGCTGCAATCTGTCGAGGCATAAGCGGAGATGACGAAAAGACATTGTTTCTCACGCCGATTTCTTCTCACTTTGGTGGAACTTTCTAATCTAACAGCACATAACGGACTGTTAATGGGGATCCAATCGACTAGTGCTGCCTCAGCTCTGGCGCTCAATGAGACACCAACGTCAGCAAGACCGGACGAAAATGCCACAGGGTCCCCGGATAAGCGCACGTAAAACAAGCTTTTCGAAGCGACAGATGAAGATCGAATTTGTAGTACTTCGCCAGAGTCTTGAATATGGGTCTCGGATAGACAGTAAACATCAATATTAAGACTTTCCAAAGACATAGCCAGCCCTATCTGTTGTCCGACCTGCACTAGTGTGCGAACGTTGAAGGCAGCCAGTTTGAATGGTGCATGTGGTTTCAGAAAAACTGCTTAAGTACTCACATTCGGTGGAAACATACAATTTTCAAATGGACAGTGACTCGAGAACGTTTAGATACAGTCGAATTTCCACCAGTGTATTAGGCTATTAATTAATTTCACAGGTTGAAATCATGAGTCAATTGAAGCTAGACCACCATGGAAAACCTGGAAGCACTGGACGGCCGTTTCGTTTTAGTATGGGACTCCTCAGCATTGCGCATCCACGAATCCCATACTAGGACGAAACGGCCGTCCAGTGCTTCCAGGTTTTCCATGGTGGTCTAGCTTCAATTGACTCATGATTTCAACCTGTGAAATTTCCTAAATTCTCCACAAAACTCATTCTATTAATTAATTGTCCAAATTTCATAGCCTATGTTATATTGAAATAACAAATTATTGGTTCGTAACACTAGTCGATACAAAGTAGACTCATCTAAAGAACTAAGTTGAAAAGATTTCAGTTAGTCACCTACCAACATGTATTGTGTAACAGCTGATTACACTACTTGGTTTCCTTAACCTCAGTAAGTGGGGGTTACACTTCAAGTGGTTAAAGGTCAACCGCTTGGACTGCTAGGCCACAGATGAAAATATAAATATGTCTGGCCTTTTTCTTGATGTAAAATGTGTAAACAGTGATGTATCTGTCTCTATTCCACATAACCTTGCTGTCGTTACTTTGTCTTTACTGAATTTCGAAGTTTGGTGGTTTCAGTTTGTATTATTTTACCCTTTACATTGTCCTAGTTGTTTGACATTGTATAGCTTGCTCAAGGAAAAAGGAAGTTATCTATATTATAAAGCTTTTTCTTATCTCATAAACAAATGTGTCTTATTGCGATTCCGTACTCTAAATTCCTGACAAATTGTTATAACAATATGTACTTTCCTAAATTTACAGACATTTTCATTCTCTGTTTATTGTAGGATGAAGTAAGAATTAACTATAACAAACTTCATGCAGACCCAAAACAAGGAAAAACGCTAGACTTAAGTAATTGTTACTTTCTTTACTTAGATTATCATAACCATCCTATTACAGTATTAAAAAAGGTGAAACATCGTATTGTTGAAACGATGGAATCTAGTACAGCTGATGCTTTAGGTCTAAGCCGAGCTATTCTTGTAAATGGTTTGTTAGATAACTTTTTATATCAGGAAAATCATAATTTGTAGATGGTATGGTTAAAAAGTTGGAAGAACTCAATAAAACATCAAATGTGTTTTCGGGTATGGTAAATCATGCAAAAAAATTGTTACGTGCAATCTATGAACTTTCTCGTATCTATGCTGGTAAGATGTTTTAATAAATGTTTTCTTTCATGACAGTTATACCTAGGTTCACTTAGCTCTACTTGGTTATTGGTTTATTTTTGCGTATCTAGTACTCCGTAGAGCGTATTGAGAAACTGTAATTGGGTTAATGTACATAAATTAACAAGGTGTATACATTTTACGCAATGCTGGGTACTTGCTCCGAGGATCACACCTTAAAATATATCACTGTATACACAAGTGCACCGGGTTCTACGTTACTTATGACTGACATACTACGGTTTATACTCGGCCACTGTTTGCTATCTTGATGTGACGGTTTTGTGTACTTACTACATTTGATATTGAGATTTTGATTAGGTGACACAATATCAGTTTTAATGTTAACTAAAGTTCTTGTTTGACGGTAATAAGGTATTGCTATGGCTACTAGTAGTAGTACCTTCAAAAAAATATCTTACTTATTTCCTGAATTCCCATTCTGTTTCTATAGTTCAGTAACAATTGGTGAGGTTTTTGAAGGGACCCAAGAAATTGTCAAGTGATGACTCAACAAATGACGCTCGATTGGTTTTTGGAACATATAAAAACGATAGTATATTAGTGATTATACGGTGTAAACAGAACCTCGATACCTGTTTATCTAAATAGAGTGAGCGATGTTAATTTAGCTGACAGTTTACAATTTAGTCCCATTCCTATCAAGCAGGTAAGTAAAATAACTACTAGTGTATGTTGAACAGTTTCGGGGTAACAGACCTTCATCTGCCTTAATAGTATGAAAACCCAATTCCTTATCACTAAATCATGTATGTGAATCTCACTTCTGCTGTGAAAGCAAGCTGCTAGCGGTGTACTTATTATATTCTCCACTTAACAATCGGCCAGATTACCGTTATTACGACAAATATCATCGGTATATACTGTCCAGAAAATGAAAATTGAGTGATAAAAATTTTAACGATTATCAAAACGTTTTGTGCAGAATCGACGGGCATAAAAATGGGGATTCACGAGATAATAGAATGTCAGTATATTGACATAATTATGTCAAAAATATATACTTTGTGCAGGTGCATAAAGAAATCCATGTTACCGAATCCAAGTGAAATACTAGAAAGAAACAAGGACATATATTTAGTTCAAAGATTGAAATGTCAGGTTTCCTAGTGGATACATAAGAATTGTATGAAACTAAAATACATGGTGAAAATTACGTTTAAGTCAAAAATATTTTATTGTTAAGTATGTTGGCAGATGATGGCAGGCATTGTTTCCACTGTTTGTAATGACCATAAACCTCTTATGAAAGCCTTAAGCACCAAACAATATACCTATTCATAGAGGGAGATAAGACACTTAGAATTTATTTCCCGGTCTACGTTCAACATATAGCACATTAGTGATAAAATCAGCACAGTTGCAGACTCATTGTGCCAACTTATCATTGTTATGTCTCAGACCGATTACGTCTATATTGTACGATTATCTCAGACAATGGATGTAGATAAAGATGTGAAGGGATTGGTAATAAGTCGAAATACTTTGGATTTTTATACTTGCCCTTTCGCTGACGCCCTGAGCGTAATCCATGATACGTTCACAAACTAGTCGAGATTCTTCTTACCGTCATCACTGAGAAAGTCAATATTCGACAAATCATACCGAATTTTCTAACAATCGACTTACGACTAAATTAATTAGTGAAAGGTACGTGTGGGCAGAAATGAACGATGATATCCAACATTTGGTCCATGCCTGTTTAGTAAACCAAAGATTTAAAGTGCATTAGCAACTACTTCTACTGAAGCGGATAGTAGATTCAACTATTTCCACGTAGGAACCGTTGGACCGTTACTACCACCAAACGGATATACGTATATTTTAACGTGTAATAATGGATTTACAAGATACCATTGGAAGATATAACAGCAACAACATTGCCAAAAATGTCGCTAAGCGTTGACTAGTGAATTTCAAAGTACAAGCACTAATCACTATAGATGGGCGCGTTCTTGAGTATTAAAAGAGTTAGGGCTACAACTTATCATCCAATCACGGATGAAATGGTCCAGCGATCTTACCAACGATTAAAAGCATACTTAATAGCAGTACATAATAGTGATAAATTGCCCACAACTGTGCTTAGTATTTCTACCATTAGGTAAGATTTAAGTTGTGCTACATAGTTAGTATATGGGACACGATTAAGATAATATTTTCGACGAGCAAGAGAGGCTCTAATCAGTACAAACGTTTGGATAGCTGCCTGGCTCAAAGTCGAGTACATGCAACTGTACTTGTTAAATGAGCTATATTAATATTGTTTTTATTTAGTCTTCATGTCACAAATATTAGTCGTAGTCTATGGTTTAGTACATGAGTTTGTATGTGGTTGTTGACTATTATTATCATTAACTTATAACCTCAGGAGAATTCTCTCTATAAGTAGTACCTAATTTTTATCTCCTCAGCCGTTATAGTCACCCAGTTTTTTAAAATGTAGCAGATTGGTTGTATCATTGAGCTGTAGAAACTATTCATATATTCCCATTACTCAAAGTCAATATTAAGGTCATCACATGTGTTGGAGTTTCTCTAAAAGTTACTTTCGAAACCTTTCTGAAAGAATAGTTGTAAGATAGGAAACTTTCTTATACTAAATCCACTAGTAATATTGCTTCGTTTTGTAATAAGATGTAAAATTGACAGCATGAATTAATGAACGTGGTATTCAATTTACACCTAAGTATTAAATTCTTTTGACATATTCAGAGAAACCTGTACATGTACTCTCTTCTTGAGTATATCAATGAATGTAGTAGTTTGCTTAAAATATAAAGGTAACTAAGGAAGACATATCAATCTTCACAGCTTTCAGCACACATCTTCGTTCGAACTTAAGATGTGACTTAATATTGCTTCAGTATGTAGATATGTTTTATAATTGTTGTATCTAATATATGGATTCGATTTAATAGATTTCTCCATTTGGGGAAATAACTCGTCTTGGGTTTCTTTACCGATTTGATTCCCTGGTCGAAATGGAGAGAATATTTCTGTATTTGTAGCGTTGTTCAGTATTTCAAAACATAACAATTTCATTGGTAAATCTTCATATGATTATAAATTTATTCTAGCATATTATCAATGCTGCTTGCTTAAAATACCCATTATGTGTTTATTCAACTGGTATTTTATTTTACTTGTTAAGTATTGGGAGACACATTTTCAGAAATTGGCGTTAAAGAGCCCATGGCATGCACAAGCGAAGCTTTTACTCAGTTTGGTACGATTCATCGAAGTATGGAGCGTTTTTCGATTGAAATGTTGAAAAAGATTAAGCCAGTATGTCATCTAATTTGATAAGAAATACTTTTTCATTAAAGTTTGAAATTTCCTATTAATTAATAATGCCCACTTTTGCAGATTCGATGCTACTGAGCAACATTCTGATGAAAAATTCTGGATATCTGAATTGAAATTGTCTAACCAACAGGCCACCTTTTTCTATTTTTATTTCTAACTTATCAGTAGTGTTCTCAGACTAATTCATTGCAGGAGTCAATGAGGAAGACAATCAAAATTAATATCCAGACAATGACGGGGGACATGTTGAAAATAGTCATTTAAATTTAATGACAACAAAGCTATTAGCCGTATGCGAAGAAATTCTGACAGCTCACGTGTGATGTCTAGAAACGATTCAACCCCTAATCTCAAAGAACTTAGCTTCACCAAAACTCATTCGCTTCCTAATGTTTCTTTTCTTCCCATCATCAACTTCTCTGGATTTCTCCGCTTACGCATACGTAATTAGTGCTAACCATTCGAGCTTTTGAAATATTATATTTTGTATCGTTAAACCATGCTGCAAATTACATACCGAACTGTTATAACGCTCGGTTTTACTTCGTCTAATGTTAGAACGGTTGAGTTTCCACGTTTCCACGTATGGGACGTTAATTTACCTTAGACGAATATCTACATTAGATCCCCTCCCAGTGTCTATTCTACAGGACTTCAACACAACTCAGATCAAGAGCACGTGATTAGCCTGACCACAACATGAATATATTTCCACACCAAAACCCGACACAATCCAACAACAATGAACAATCAATAATAAGTGATAATAATAATAAGGATAGGGGAATATATAACTCATCAAACTATCTACATGTTTGACTAAGCAGACAACCAATCATTATCATTCTCGCCCACACATTACGAACATTTCAATGTTCGAACCTTGTATTAAATCATACAATAGGCTTCAACAGCAAAGGTTCTAGAGTCCAATGCTACCGACATATCCCGTATCTGCGAAATATACATGTGTATCATAAGTGTAGTCATTTAGCTTCTTCACCTACCCAATTTGGAGAATCAGCACGATTCATTGTTTGCGTGTCTGGTGATTCGGCGACTACGTCCCACGTTCTAAATCGAAACAAGCATTCTTGGGGTTAATTACAACTCATAGCCTTTTGTACTTTGTGAAGTTAAATGAGATATGACTCACAAAGATAAAGCTACATACCGTTGCCTCTTCGTAGTCTACTTTTGCTTTAGTATATGAGTTAGTAGCTATATGCGTCGCAATATATCCTACATCTGAATTTAAAAATCCTCTTATTCCAACGGACCACTTACCTTATTCATTTCTTTTCCTACTGTGTCTTATTTCTGTGTCAGATTTTCATAATCTATATTGAAACTTTCCGGCTTCTAGATTCTTACAAATCCCGACGATTCATATTTACTGAATAATATACTCAGTTCACTGTAAACAACAAATCATATGTTACTGTCTTCAGCTCTCATGATGAACAGCCTTCACTAGTTAAAACTTCAGCACTATCAGCTAATGATATACGATCGACATTCAAGATACTCATTCAGAAGCATAATGTATTCAGTGTCACTAAAACTTACCCATATAATAAAAGAACTATGGGATTTATTTCATAGATATTTGTATATTCATTGGGGTCAGAAGTTGATTGCTGTCAACTATTGCATATACACTCGCTAACTGAATGTAAAAACGGGAAACAGTCGTTTGGGAGTTTAATGTGACTTCATCTAAACTGACTAACCTTCATTATTCCAAACCACAGTGATTACAATTGCATAACGCATAAGTAGCTTCAGATATGAAGACGGACTCTAATATTTCCAGGCACCTCTATATCTTACTTTAGTGCCCCACGTAAGGTATGCTTCCTGGTTCTGCTGTTTGTCATTTTTTATTTATACGATGGCCTTGGTTGTTTCTTCTATTGTTTACGGAGTGTCATCTATGGGAATGTGTGCGTTTTGTTTTGATGTCCGGTGGGTTCAGTGGTGCCGGTCTATTCAAGAGCTCTTAAAAATTTTCTGTTCACCTGTCCTGCTGCTGTTGATCCTAAATGATTGATTTATCTTTGTTCCTTACGGGTCTCGCTGATTGATCTACTATATTTCCCTGTAAGCTTTTTTTGGGAATCATATGGTTCTTCCATATTTCTTTCGCTTGTAACTTTTTCTGTTATCGTTGCCAGGTCGTCTACATATTCCCGCTTGTCAGCTCATTTGTTTGCTTCTCAATATTCAGTCACTGCCTTGACTTTCGTTGCTTTTGTTGACTGATGCCGTCTTGTTTTTCCTTTGTTAAATCTATCCAGGCTGTGTTCAAAGATCTATTCTTTATTTTGATGCTTATTGGGACTGGGCACCTCCTAACATATTAAAGCTATTGCTTCCTTAGTTCTGATATGTCGAGATAAGAAGGCGAGTTCACTCCTCTTACTTGATGTAAGGTTTTATGACATCAGTCTTATTCCCAGTGTAACATTTTGATATTGTTTTTATTCTCAACGTAAGACTTCATTCTATGTGACATTGTTTATTTTCAGCCTGACGTTAAATATTGGTTTTATACTTGTCACGCAGATCTACCAGTCTCCCACCACTCCTATTATTTGTCTTTGTTCATACCACTTCATGTTGTAATTGTACTTTATGTTATTCATCCCGACTTTGGCGTTTAGGTCCACCATAAGGTGTTTTCATACTCATTTTCTGTGATGAACCTTTTTTTCTACATAAAACCAGCTTTTTTCATCACTCCCGTCATTGATGAGAGCATTGCATTATATGACCATTGTTATTTTTTAGTCGTTTTTTTTAAAGAATGCTTTGATCATCCTGGAACTTTCACATACCCATACTCAGAGTTGCATATATAAATATCAGGAGGATTGAATAGATTAGAGTAATTCATTTACCTAAAGGCTAGAATAAATCAAGTAGGGGTGCTATAATTATTTGCATATTTGTCGGAAGAAGCATAATTTCAGCCATAAGTTTTCATAACTTGTCTTCATGAAAACCTTCGTCTTCCAGGGCATAGTTTAAATGGAACAATCGGTTTTTCTCTGATTACTCTTTTTACGTGGTGTGGTTTGTTAACCTCATGGCCAGGCCTCTTTTATCTGAGCTTAGAACTTGAATTAACCCCTAAGGAGGCTGCAGACGGGGTTCACATCAAATCTATAAAATCACCATACTGCAATAATTTATAGTTTTTTTCATAATTAATTTAACTGTTTCAGAAACCAAATAGAGATTAAATCTGTTTATAATCGAGTTACTTCGTTCACTTTTATAGAAGGCATATCAACTCTAACTTGCTAACCGTCCTGCCTACGTAATTCAAATATTTCTGATAATACTTGAACCAATAAATGGTTGTATGTTAAGACTGTAGGTTTATAGCTAACAACTCTGCAAATAAGGGGAGTATTATCAGACCTAAGAGTAACATTATTTCACGATGTTTCTCAAAATTTCTGCATATTATTCGTATTTAAAAGCCATCTTGCACATTTCATAACATAAGAATTTGTAATAATTTTCCCTCTCATTTCTGTAGTAAAATGTTTTCACTTTTTGTTATTCCACATAGATGATCATGGATTTAAACACATTTCTACATAAAGCGGTTCCTGATACAAAGTTAACAATCAAAAAATATTTAGATGTCAAATTTGAATATTTGGTATGCGAAGTGTTACTAATTTTTCTTACTTCGGCCCGTTCTGTCCTTTTTTATACTAAGTATTTGACAATCAATTTGGGTTTGAATTTGTTTTCGTTGTTGAACGTAGGATAGTGTGAATTTTCTACTTAAATTTACTGAATACCATTGATTGATTTCTGTCTTGAATTCGGTACAAGCATCGGTTATCTAAATACATTATTTGTCTTACTTTTACATACAAGAAATAGAAGTCAACTGACAAGCATGTGAACCAAAACCAATAAAAATGGATTAGTTTGTTCAACCGTTCTGTAACTACACAGCTGAACAAACCTAATTATAATTAAAAGCCTCATTGATTTCAACAATCTACTCTGTTACGAAAATTCTCCGGTATGACCTATGTTGTCAATATCTGTATTTATTATAATTCAAAGGAATTATGGAGTATCTTTTTTATGTTCTTTAGTATCTTGAATAGATATATTGTCCTGTCAGGTGCAATATTATCTAATGATATTTTTCATACACTGTCTTCTCTCAAAATATCCTTGAACAACTTAATTTACACTTTAAGTTGGAGTAGTTGTGATTGCTCTTCTCGTATGGTTTAGTTTTTTTCTCACAACTGAATAAGCATATGGAGCAACTGACAAGGTGATCTTAATGCAATGGTCACATTACTGATATAATACTAAAAGTCGATCTTGGCTTCAACTTGTTACTACATTGCCACCATTGTTACAAGGTATAACATGCACTCAGAGTTTTCACTCATTATGTTAATCCATGTCACAACGGTTGTTGAAGCTAGCCAACTACAAAGTTGCATAACAGTTCACTACCTACTGATGAATAGTTTTGAGCTTAATGTCTACAAGCTCTAATAGAAGGCCTTGATTTATTTAGTTAGTCCGCTTGGAAGTAAAGACAGACACCCACAGATGATATGTGATGATAACGTTTGTACCAAGTGATATTAGAAATCATAGTGTTGTTCAGTTAATAGAATTGTGACGTCTCGATTGTAAAACCTAAGGTAAGGGTTTAAAGTCCATTGTGTATTAAATCAAAGGTATACCTTTTTAAGCAGTCAGAAACTAGATTAAGATAACCTCTGGACATATTGACTACATATTTTTCTGTAGTAAAAAATTGCTGAAATAAAATATAATTGACTTGGAGTATTGGTGTAGTTGTTAAAATATTTGACTTTCAACCACTGGGTTCTAGATTGTACCATTTTCCATCTACTATGGTTTCCGCATTCGGGTTGCCTCAGTAGTGCTCCCAGGTAACCGACAACACAAATAAGTACTTGCCAAATTAGTTTAAAACGCAAATTGGTATAACTTTCAGTTTACTTCTAATAGGACATTTCTGTAGACTGAATGTATTACAACTTTACTTAATATTCTAGTTATATGTATCTCCAAATAATCCACTTTAAAATACGGCGTCTCGTTTCTAAAAAAGGATATCTTTGCCAGAGGTGAAAAAACTAGCTGAAATTCGGTATCATGAAAATCTCAACAAAGCCCATCATATTACTCTTGGATGATCAATTGGTTTTTATTGTGTATATTTTTCGTGATTGACTGACACATTGTTGCTATTTTTTATTTCATCTCCTTTTGTTTCGCCAGTCTTATTGTCTTAAAGTAAAGGAAATGGACGATGAAGAGTATGGTTTTGCTATGGTTCAAGAACCACTATATCGTGTAGAAACTGGAAATTATGAATATAGACTTGTTTTAAGATGTCGACAGGATGCACGTACACGGTTCGCTAAGATGCGCAATGATGTTTTAGTAAAACTAGAATTATTGGATAATAAACATGGTAAGCAGTGTATTTATTTTCCTTTTTTAAATTACGTTCGACCTCTGGTAATTTATTGGATTAAATTTTAGTAACAGTGGAATAATAATTTGGCGTGTATACCATTTTCTGCACTCATCAACAAAGTGTGGATAGACTTATTTTTAATATGGAGACACTTAAACTATGATTCAAGTAGCATGGTTCCTAAGTAGTTGAGTTAACATTTGTAAGTGAATAATCATTCCACATTGCTGTATAAACGGTAGAATCCTAATCAAGCCCATTTAAACGGTTATATATATGCTTTACTTACTACTTATGTTTACCGACATAAGTAGTATGTAACACTCATCAGAAGTGGAATGCCTGGTAACCAAAGGTTCAACAGATCGAATTGAAGAGGATAGAAATGTAAACAGAGAGCAATTGTAATAACAACAGAAATGAAGGAACGATGAATTTTGTAAGAGACAATTGATGGAAGATGTACAAATGAAGTATTTAATGTATGGTTTTCGTACTTTACGAAGACATTCTGTAATTTCGTATTGACTAATAAATTCCTCTTCCCCATCAAGTTTTTGTTCACTACATTTGGTGTCGCTGCAAAAAGAGGTGAAGTTCTGCGTACGCCGTTACCGGGTTAAGAAAGGAGGCGCTACTTGGGGCTGTCCGGTTCAGGAATGTGACGTCAAATGGAGTGTTCCGGCGGGGCGGTGTTGGCTGTAGAAGTCGCTGAGAGGACGTCGTATCTAGATGTCCCGGAAGGCCGATATTGCTATCGAGGTCAGTGCGCCGGCGAATTCTGCATTTTGATGGGGAGTTCGGCAAAGGAAGTGACACGGAGAGTAGAACAACCGCAAGAGCGACCGTTTAAAGTGGGAACGAGTGTGGCGTATGCTATTTATGTTTGTCGACATAATCAGTATGTAATACAAATTAGAAGTGGAATGTTTGTCAAAAGAAGATTGAAATGAAGAGGAGAGAGAAGGAAACGAAGGAATCGGGAGAATCATGAAGGATGTAAAGGACAACTAAGAGATGTGCAAATGATGTATTTGCTGTATGATTTTTATATCTTACTAAACCACTATGTGATTGTGCATGTATAATAAATTGGTCTTCCCGACTTCTGTGTTCATCCACTACAGTTTTACACTTCACTGTATAGAACCGTAATTAACACTCAGTGAAAGATGGAGAAATTGCTTAGTTGTTAAACCGCTTGTCTCTCAATTGTTATGTAACAGGTCTGAACCGCGCTCCACGTTCGGTTTAGATAACCGAGTGGTCTTTACAGTACATGCCTAAGTACTTTGATTCTAATCCCGAAGTATATTAACTCGTACTTGGCAATTGAGTCACACTACACTACAGCTATTATAGTTCAAAAAATCACCTACCGCTTTCAAACATGTATCGTCGTATTTAGTCTTTAATTGCTTAACCCATACAAATCACAGACAATGATATTAACTGTTTTATCGGACTTCTATTGGCATCGCATATCTTACAAAACTGTTATTGTATTATGACAGTCGCTGTGATTAATTTTTGACGGTTTTGTCGGCAATTATTTGGTCAGGAAAGTTGCTTCTGCGTTATGCTAAATATATAATATTGAATAAAGTGATTAATAATAATATTAATAGTCTTGTGAATAAAGTTGTAACATGTTGCGCTATAATTCACCCCGTGGTTTATAAATGATCAGTTAGTTGATCAATGTAATTACAACAATAATCTGTTTAAGTTAGTGTTATGAAGTACTGGTTTCTTCACATTGTGACTAGTAGGGCAAAATGATTTACGTAACTTTCCAGTTCTAGTTAATATTGTATTTACTGTTTCTCATTCACTTAGTTACTAAATGCGGTATTCATGAATTTCCGTTTGACGGTAGTCTAATACAACTTTATTGACGTTAAGAAAATTTTCTCTTATATTGTAACGATCGTCAAGATTTCGGTAGTCGAAAATCGCAGTGTTTTTAATCAGTTTTGTATGAACTGGTTTATACTGCTCTTATGAGGTATGTTGACTTGGACCGACGCATATATGTGCCGGTCCTATGTTTTAGGATGACTGACTGATATACTGGTTCTACCATGGCTAGATATTTTCCGTATGTTGTAATCCATTTTGTTTTCGACGGAGATATCCCTACTTTCAACAGCTGGTTGACAAGTGATGGTAGACGACATCATTCTCACATCGTGATTTGATGTCTGAGCGAACAACACTCCCGATGTAATAAAGAATCTTATTAGTACTCTGAAGACCCGAATGCGAAATTAGACACTGCTTAACATATGATTTAGAACCCAAATCATGACATGAACCAACTATTGTGTATATCTTATAAATTGGATCTGGAACTGAATATAATGTTTTACGTGTAGTAACCAGGCTTCTAAGTGTCTACGAATTTAAACATACTATTAATGTATTTCTTGATACCATAAAATTAAACGTTGTTAGATATAAGAAGCTTTTAGGCTGAATATTTTGTCAACATGTGCATCCTACGTAACATACCAAACAAACTAGATATCAATTTTTCGGACTACAATGACTTTTTTGTACAATGTCTTTGGATCCTTAGAACTACAGTATTCATAGTTTGCCACAGATTTCCTATACGACTAGGTATGTAAAATGGGATTATATTTTTCATATTTGTTTGGAACTAACCGCAGTCGGTTTTTGTTCTTTTCCTCTTCACCAGTACAAGATATCGTGTTTGAGCTACAACGTTTCATCGATGCTATGGCCACCTACCATGATCAATGTTATGGTGTCATGAAGCAAATTAAAATTTTTCCACTTGAAGTGGATCTGGCAAGAGATGCGTTTGCGTACAACCTAGGGATTTTTAATACAGGCGAAGATGAAGGCGGTGAAGATATTGATGAGGATGTAATCAACACTGAGTCAGTTGGAGAAAAATCTGTCAGTAGCAAGTATAACCAGTTAACTGACGATGTCAAATTAATAGACCTGGCAGGGATAAATTCCAAAAGCCGATATTCTGAAAATGAGGGTGATGATGAGGTGTTAGATATGAACAACTGGAACTCTTTATCTACTTGGGGTCCTCATACAGGTGACAGTAAATCGAATAAACAGGAGGCTGTTACAGACTTGCTTTGTTTTGACTAGTTATCGTTCTGCTTTACATCATTAGTGTACATATACTATGAATCCCTTTTTTTAATAAGTATCTTTTGTAGTGATTGTACTGCATTCACTAAAAATGTGATTTAATAATGTGATATTTCTGCTTTGCTAAATTCCATGACTTAATTTCGTTTATTATTCGGTTTTGTGTTTTTGTTTACTCTTTGTGGAACAATACATATTAATAATTATCGTACACTTCTCTTGCTACAGTTTGTTTCATGTCTGAGGGGAGTGGTTGTGATCATGCGAATATTTTTAATCTAATATATTGTTGAACAGTTTGTTCATTCCAATAAAAAGTTTCGTTACTTATTGTCATTTATGGTTTTCTACAGATATTTTACTTGTGTACCATTTGTATAGCAGTCGCCTATTTCTTCCATCCATCTGGAAATTAATAAAACCCGTGAGGAAAGGACATATAGTATTGTTACAAGTTGATTACACCTATTGTGACTGCTTTGAATATTTTTGATAGCAAAAACTTTGAACAATCTACTACATAGTATTTAGTTGGATAAATACAAAGTACATTGGCTCAGGTTGACGCACTTCTCGACAGCATACAATTGAAAAGTCAATATAGACGTAATAGCATGGAAATAATGAACGTGTGAAAAAATCGATTCGGATAAATAAAACGTTCACTATTTATAGAAGGGTGAAAAGTGAGTGCACCTATCATTCTGACTCTGACCAATCCCCTTAGGGTCTTCGGTCGTTTGCTTCCATCACTTTAAGAATTCTACTCAGGAAACCTGTACTGTTTCACATAAACACAGACCAAAAGTTAGTAGTTTAATGGATTATTCATATGCCTAGTTCAGTAACATTGGGTGAATATACTCGTTTCCCTACGACTATTTGTATATTGGCGAAAGTCACTCATATCCAGTATGTAAGTATACAGAACGCATAAGCCAGTCAACACAATCAACTGCCTCATTCCTTATTTTAAAATGACGTGTTGATGTTTATTTTTGAAATAAGCTTACAGGTGAGAGATTCATGTTCAGTATCTCCAGGTTGTTGTTCAGTGTTTTTTGGAAAAGGGTTATGATGTCTTCAGGCTTCAAGTTGAGTGTAATGTTTATAAGCCTTATACGACGACAGAATGAAAATGTTTCTGTTTGCTAAATCATACAGGTAGCTGAGAATATATTACTACTACATTGGATACTATTGCTGCGCTACGTAGACTGGGTTAGCGATTATACCAGATACAAGGTTTGTGACCCAATATAGAGAACCGGGGTATAGACAGTACCTTATGCAACACGACTACAAGCGGTATGCATTCGAATTTTGGAGCAAAAATCAATTATAGAAAGGAAATTACATATTTGACAGTAGATGATCTAGTCTTTCCACGCTCAGTGGTTAATCACACCTTACTTTCACTGGCTGCAAATCAGAGCTGTTTAAGAATTACTGATAAGTTAGGTAATACTAGACATCCACGACATTTTATCTGTAACAGCGTATACACAACTGGTGATTACTACTATGTCATAACCCCTCACAGTTAGAAATTGGCAGAACTATAAAAAACACCCTAAATCACACTAGTTAAGTGAGCAGTTACATTTAGAATATTGTATATGTCGTAGGAACACAGCAAATATTCACCGCCTGAGATGTCAGTTTTGAATAGCGTCTATCTTGATAGCCTTTTGGATCCGGAAACCTCCAAGTCCGTTGGGAAGGGGATGAATAACAGAAGAGTAGTCAATGGTAGATATTCGTGTCGTAAGCACACAGAAATTATTTTCCTAAGGAATTCAGGAACCCCAATCGATAAAATTACAAAATGTGAGTTTTCGGACATTAGCGGGGGTGGGCATCAGTTTGATAGATTGGATCTGGTCTGCGGCCGTCGGCATCGAAAACCAACCACAAGTACTTTACCGACTGCAAATAAAACTGGCATTTCCCTGAGCGTAACTGGAACCCGTTGTCACTGATGCGTTGTAATACCAATGCCGTGCGTTCTCGTAGCTGTTCTAATGTCGTCGCTACAATTAAAATGTCATCCAGATAAGCCGACTCCCGAGATACCTGGAAAATAGATGGGTCAGTTTTGACCCCGAAAGGTAGACGGTTATACTGGAACAAACCACGATGGGTATTGATACTTAGCAGCTCTCTTGATGCTTCATCTACTTCCACTTGCAAGTAAGCATCAGCTATATCCAGTTTAGCGAAAAACCTTCCCCCATTCAGCATGGTAAATAGGTCTGCGTGAACAGGCAGGGGATAATGATGTTGTTCCAGAGCTGCATTGAGACCTGTTAAAAAGTCAGTACATATACGTATCGTGCCGTTGGCCTTCTTGATAACAACTATAGGTGCTGCCCATGCAGAGTAGGAAACGGGAGTAATAACTTCCTGTTGTTGAAGGCGATTCAATTCTTCATCTGTTGTTTGTAATGTTGCATAAGGCACAGGTCTCTTAGGACGAAGAGCAGGCTTAGCCCCAGTTTTCAGTCGAGGCGTTGTTTTAATAGCAGAGCACCACTGGCCCAATCCAGGCTGGAAAATAGTTGAAAACTGCATCATTAAGTTCCTCGTATATGCCTCTGAGTCATGTGTTTGTTGTCGTAGTTGAGGTTGTGATACCATATTGAAAATGGTATTCAACAGAACATCAGCTAATTTTAACTGATCTAACTAATCTAAATGGAGTAAATTTAGATCAGCTGGCGTTATGTAACAAACCCCAACATACGCCGAATCACGGAATGTAACTGCATATTCCATTTGTCTTAGCATGTGAAGGTAATTAACACATGCAGTACGAGGCTTTTGCATTGCACACTGCAAGTTTGGGCTGCCCATTCTGGTCCAAATCTTACGTGAGAGAATAGTGACATCTGAAGCAGTATCTATTTGCAATCTAGATAAATGCCCATTAATATTAACAGTAATAAATTTTCTCTCACCTGGTGATGAGTTTTAACACGAAGATACTAAGCTCAATGAATTGATGCGAGATGTAGGAAGGGTCTCTTTGGTATTTCTGGATTGACTTGGATTCTTTTTCGTCGGACAAAATCCATCCTTATGACCGATAACCTTACACTTCATGCATCCATGTTGCTTAAATGGGCAGTTTCGAACGTAGTCCCATGCACCACATCGCCAGCAAGAAGTAGGGGGGTTCGCTTTGGTCTGTTGTCTCGAGCCGGAGTGGGATGTACCGGATGAAGCAGGGACGTGTTTGTTTTATTAGGGCATCTGTCGCACCGCTCGTACTTCAGATCAGCTAGACCCACCACTCTACAACATAGAAGTGTCTCGTTGCAGATTAATGAGACGTTGATATTCATTAGCTATATCACTCAGGATGAGTTTCGGCTCTTGACCCAACCGACTTAGTAGCCTTGTTCGTAAGTCACTGAACTTTGAATGCTGCAGGCTGCAAATGAGGATCAGGGCTTTAAACTGATCTTCAGTCAAGGACTTTGACCGGAAGCGTTCGTATTCACGGTTTACGACACCCACATGCGTAAGAAAATTATCTTCGTTCATAGTTAGCTTCAAGCACCGATAACGAGTATTAAACAGTGATGAGTTATCGCCAAAATGTTGGCTTAATGTTTGAACTGTCTTCAAATGATCGGTCACGTGGGTTCAACGGCAGGATCAGATTGCAATACTTAACCAGCTCATTTGCACCCAGTTTACGAAGTAGCAGCCGCACATTCCAAGCATCATCTTGATTGGCGAAATCAAATTTAAATAGATCTTCATAACACCTGAACCACATCTCTAAAGTAACATTAGCTTCAGGATCGTAATGGAATTCATCTATCCTATTTGAGATACCATCTACTGATGGTGCCGTGGTTGAACTAGACGTTCTTGGTTGTGAGAGAAGCGTAACCTTAGTCTCCGTAAACATTTGCATCAATTTCAGCTGCTGCTCAAGTAACAGTTCAAGTTTGGAAGGGTCTATAATTGAAAAACCACCGTTGCCAAATTCTTATGTTCGTTAAGCTTGAATGCTACTACTGATTCGTCTTACTCGGAACGGAACGAAGAATCAAGGATTCAGCACTCGATAGGACTACACAACACAGAACCAACTCATTAATATTTCATACTGAAAAACAATGGAATATTTAACACCTGAACCGATCATTTCGCAAGCGTACCTTTGTCTAGACAGGATATTTACATAAGTTCATTTGCACCATGGTAGTTGTAGTTTCTAGTATTACTACTGTTCGATATATCATTCTGTCATCATAAAATAGCAAGCTAACGTCTTGCTTATTATATCTGGGTTGCAATGGCCAGTGATTACGTTTATAAACCAGCCGCTGGTCTTCCATTATAATTATTAGTGTAGTAAGACTGAGAGTTGATAGTACCAATTTTGAACTAACTTAACGTCAAAAGTCGTCCAGATGAATCCCAGCTAATAATCGTTGATTTGCAGATACTAACAAATGCAACGAAAAAATGTCTAACTGAGGAATGGACTACCAAATGCGATTAGGAACTTAATTGCTCAAATTATCTTTATTTCATCAGTGGTATCGCAGAGGACAGCTAATCTGCTTTGTGCGAACTGACGTTGTCGTAGTGACTCTTCAAAAGTTCCTTAATATATAATTCACCAGATTATTCTTCGCACTAGCTTAAATGAACTGTACTGAAAGTTACCCACAAGTGTATAATAGCATTATTTTTGCGCCAACGAATGCTAGCATAAGTAAAAGAGTTCAATAAATGCAATAATTTGTGGGTAGTCCGCAAGATAAGTCGACTTCAGGTTAGATATTAAATGAAATTCAGATCAAGTCTACTAAAATGGCAAACAATCCGACTGGTCCATACACTTTCGCTTGTAGTTAGAAACAACTCACTGTGCCGTTACCTGTTTTCACTGTTACAATAGCTTACTAGTGTTTTCAAGGAGTGAACAATCAGTGTACCAACATACGAACCCACTCAGGCCTGTTACACACAGTTTGGAACGCAATTCTTATTTAGAAAACAATTTCATTCTAAGTGGTCGACGCGTTTGTCGCGAAAGCGTTAAATATAATCTACTCAGACTCGAACTCTGGGTGTCTACATGCGTATGAAAACTAAGTTGGACGAGTACGCTATACTAGTTCTCGGTTAACATATCAGGAATCCAATGTAAATTCTCAGTTGTGAATGAAATCGGTTACCAAGAATGTATCACGTTTTTTGTCAGTCGTATTTACTGGAGACACATTTGTGATTCTATCCACAATTTCGTAAGCGTTATTATCGACAACTGAAATCAGACGTCAACTAAAAAGTGCAGATAAAAATGTACTAGCATGCATATAAAAGTAGGAAAATTAGAAGTCAACTAATTGACGAATGTATTACTGTCATAAGCGAACAAGCTATATATTATCTAACTAGTATCCAGTGTTATGGGACTGATTAGTCTTGGATGTAACTAGTACTAGCTAAATTTCTTGTGATAGATAAGAATTCCTTAGATATAGCTCTTCATTAACTACTACAACCAACTGATTTCAAATACGCAAATGACTGCAACGGTAATCCGTTTTAGCACAAATTGTTTAAATCACAAATACTTCGTCAACGAAATCCTCTAGGCAACTGAGATAACCAATAGAAATGACAATAAGTAGAACAAGATGTACTTTCTATTGAAATGAGGAGGCATGGAGGGTACAAACTAATCGAATACGTAACTAGAATTGGTCATTTATGTTAATTAAAGTCCCAATGCATCGATGGTGCAGACCTTTTTAAAATATTCGTATTTCCTAGAGATATTGGTTTCCTGAGGTCGATAAACCGGTCGGCCTGAAGACCAAAATACGCAACCATGATTTCTGGCACAGACTCATCTACAGGAGGCAGCTTGTTTATAGCAGCTTTCTAATAAAAGTAAAGATTATTTCAGGGAAACTACCATTTTTTCTGCACTAGCTTTCATCTTCAAACACGCATCTGCATGACGTTTGGCGTTCGTCATCTGCAAAGTCGTCTGTTAGCAAAAAACACTTACCATAATCCTTCCTTGACTCTGAACTTTAGTGATAGCACCCGACGTATCTTTAGGATATTCGACTGACAAACCTGCATATTCCTTCTTGAATCTATCTACTAGCCCTGGGATGGGGACGACATGTGCATAGTGTTCCCAATTAATTGGTGGCAGAGATTCTGGAAGTGATGTTATCCTATGACGAACAATGTCTAGTAAATTAAGCTGTCTTACTTAGATACAAGATTGTCTGTCTTTGTCTTCAACTCTCTAAATTGATCTAATTGATGTTTCGGGCATTTTGAATACAGTTCAGTCCAATTCACAGCTGAAACCGCAACCCGCCTAGAGGTCATTGTTCGAAATGAAAACCACACTCCAAGGTTAACTGTTGATTATGTACGTCAATTGTAGGTAAATAAACGATTAAACGAATTTATGAAATCGACACTTATGTGATGGAATAGAACCATAAAATTGTCTAAATTGATAGGATGAAAAATTCCGTAGCTTTTTATGCCCAATTAATTGGATTGCTACATCTAATGTTCAATATGAATATGTTGAACAAGAAAAAGGCTTCGCCTCTCAGTACTAGTATTTTTCGCATGCGATGATTGTTGAACTTCTGACATAGGGGCTTAAAATTTTCGATTGTGTCAATACTACTCTCAGTGAGACATAGAAAATAAATCTACTTTAGCAAGTTACAGCTCGATCTGTATTTAATATACTACAGATGACCTCTGACATCTGGAAGTTACTAGAGCCACACTTGGTATAGTAGCAGCGTAGACAAAAATCTAATCAAAGCTGTGGGTCTTGATCCTGGATTTTCTAGATGTCTTAATGAAAATTATGTTCAGCCCTAGTTGAACAAAATGCTCAGTGCTTCGATCGAAGACGTTACAGGGGCTACTTCAAGAGACCACAGCACTCGAAAACCTCTAGCGTCTGCTTCTTTAAGGTATGCAGCTGTTTTTAAGTCACGACTTAGAACCTTATTTCACGGACTTGTTCAGGTGGTATTTCATCGACATTGTGCTGGTATCAACTAACATATCCAACGTATTTATGCGCAGTCTTATTATGATCAGCGGGCCATAACTTTGAGATCAACGAAATAACCTATCTCAATCAACTTAGAGAACAAGGCGACGATTACTACCATCGGTTCGTTTCAAAGCCTTTATTTTATCTGCAAACAATGATATTGACCGCTTGAGAAGTTTTGTTAAGTCCCTTTTACTCCCACCTGTATTCGGCTTTAAAAAAATATTTGCCTGGTCTTTTATTATGCCTGTTATTCCAAATTTGTAAAGGATTTGCATAAGCTATGAACAAGATATCTGAAAAAACTGCTTGCTAAACTGCAAGAATATTAGAACAACAAAAAATCCGTTATCTCAAGCCACTGTTCAGTCTTTTCTGACAGTTTGTAATTTGGTTGAGCGAAACCATTCACTCCGAAGCCCTCTTTATTTCGCAGTCAGTGGATTATGTGTATCTGCATGAATTAGCAACATATCTTAAATTGTTTTTTCCAATACCTTAACTTTTGTGTTAGTTAAAATGATGGGCCAGTGGTAGGACGCGAGCTCTTTTTTTCGTTCTTAAGTTTCGGTCTAATGATGACGTCGTGCCAATCGCTCGGTATTTAGGCCTGATAGAGGTATTGAGCAATGCGGTGAGTGTCATCGACCTATGTCCGCGAAAGATAATAGGACTTGCAGATATCATCCAACAGGGCTCGGAGACTTGGGATCATTTGGACTACTCAGAAATCTAAAGAAAGTTTCATAAGTTACAAGCACTCATATCACGAATAACATCTTGGAATTATGGCTGTAGCATTGTCAGATATCTAGATAAGAGCTGGCTGATAGCATTCTATCGGATCAACAGTTCCTTGATGAAATATTTACTTACTTACTTCTTTATGAAGACAGCATATTTCCCATTATTCTGTGTTGAATTTTAATAGATTTATGTGTTTAAATTAGGATGTCGCGCTCCGCCCGTTCTATACATAATATGTAAAAGCCTACAACAACAACCTTCAGGACTTTTTAAATCATTATTCGAGGATGGGTAAAAATGGGTCCAACATGTCTATAAGCATTGATAACAACAGTGTCCTCCGAGAAGGTCTCATTTGAGTAGTTTGACAATCCTTCAGATTTAGCCTCATGTGACTCGACCAGTGTGCGTGAGTTTTTGAACGTTGTGAACAGATGAAACAACCAAATCTTTGATGTCCGCCGTAACTAGAGAAAGGCCTATCTGCGGTCATTTAGACTATTCTCCATAAGATTCAGCACTCGAACCAAAACCTTTAAAATCTGTTGTGGGACAAAGTTCCAACAACTTTTCTCATCCCTCATTTTGTTCTCTTCTCTTCTCACCCTCATTATTTCCTTTTTGCTGTTTTTTCTAACTGCAGGATGGGGTTTTAGAGCGTGGTCGCTACGTCATTGAAGAGAGGTTTCCCCAGTCACCATGAGACATAAACATAGTACAGTAGGGAGAGACCTCCGAGCTTTGCTCAAAAATTAGGTGAATTGAAGTGATTGTTAGGAACGAGAGTAGACATTAATGCGAAAAATTGGGGATATATGACTACTCTTAAACCGTCCGGTTCTCAGCTTGGACCTAATATATCACGTGGGTGAAGACACCAGTGTGTTTTTCCGTGGCCTATCACCTAATTTAAAAGGATGTACTTCAGTTATCTGTGAGTATTTTCTAAATAGACGGTCATATTATATAGAATCACAGTTGGCTGTCTAACTGCTGTTGAATTAACCTGAAAGAATCCCCACGGGTCACCACGATAGTTTATTATGTTTTGTTTACTGAAATGGACAGGCTAGAAGGCTTTTTGAGCATTATTGGTCCGTCGAAACTTATTCTTGCTTCTTCAAAATGACAGTGATGATTAGTACTTAATAAGTGATCATAAAACCACTAGTGAAAAGCGCGCTTCGGTCTATGTCGTTTACCTCATAGTGATGAATCGAGGACTGCTAAGAATGATGTGATTGTGTTTTCGGAAATCAGGTGAGTAAGCACAACAACCAGACTGTCATTTTTCAAGAGATTATCCCTAAAACAAAAGTTTAAATCATTTTTGTTTGTTTTAGATGCAGAGCTAGAAGTGCTGCTAAACCTTCCAAACATTGCAGCAGCAGTAATAATGGTGGTATTTTATGCCTGAAATTTCAGGTTCACACCATCTTCACAGGCTTGATCAACAATTTGTAAGATGAGCTTATAAATGAGATTCTACCCAAGCAGGGATATTAAGGGGATAAAATCAGTCCTGATCTCTTTCGACGTCCTGACAGATAAAATTAACTCAGTGGCACCAATTTGCGCGTATGAATGTCAGAATGCAATGCAATGAAAATTCACACAAAGTGAACACTGAAAACACACGTCTTATAAGTAATTCTCTCCTAACTACCTCCATGGAGGGCAATCCCAAACTACTAACTACTGAAAACTTGGAAAATAGTAGTAGTAATAGATGCAGACAAAACTTACACTAACTTCAACTTTATTTGGAAATGGTAAGATGTGTTGATTCCAGAGCTCCTTTTGACAGTATTCAAAACATATAGTCAACCTCAGCTAGAAATTTTTTAGTACTTCATCTCCACAAAATTAATAGGAACCTCTTGGACCTAGTACAGATAGGCATCAGTATGTTGACCACAAGATTAAGGGACAGGCTTTATGAAAACCGACTCGGCTGCCCTGATTACTTTCCCTAAGCTGCAAAAGAGCAAGAGGCTACCCGACAATGACGTATTGATTCACAAATACTCCCAAATAAAAACGGCCTACCCAAATCTGATACTTGTAACTCTAGAAGGAATCTATGACGAATGGCATGTGGAGATAGTCAAATTAGACTTATTTTGTGATGTGATCAGAGAATCAAGAAGACCTGACAAACTACAGAAGCTATTTTTGAGGAGGTGATTTCATTTAATTCACAGCTCGTAAGACAGTAACATTTATTTTTTTCTCCTAGTTTATTCTACAAATCATAGGCTTTCGTTTGATATATGACTCACTGTCATAGCCTTTCCTGTTCCAAAGCCATTGTAATTTAAAAGTACTGTTTTGTGCTCTATTGTCAACGCCGGTTTCCAGTCTTGGACATAATTGTATTTCCCTAATTATTATACGTTGTGGTCAGGTTAGTCATCTATTTATTCATGTATCTTTTTGCACCTATCTGAAATCGGGAACGAAGTCGGGATCGGGGATAAATCGAGCAGTGTTCCAGTTGACTCGTCCTCTCTCACTTGCGTACTTGTCAGTCAATCAAGTGATAGAATAGTTTTCGTCTCTCTACCTTAAGAAGTTAGTCTCACTTCGAACTCACGTATATTAGTCTCAAGGTTAAGCCAATCGGCCTATTGCGTCAAGATCTTAATCTAGATTAGACAAACATCCTCTGCACAAAGTTGGGTGGACAGATCAAGGACGTAATATTTTGTGATTACTTTTTGTTGTTATTCTCATTCTTAATTAAGTCTCATAATTGTACAATTACCATTATTAAGCATGAAGTTGTTTAAAGAAACATAACATTTGACCTTCCATTCCGGTTTGTGAACACATTGGTTGTCGCTCACAAATACACTACTGAGCACATAATCCATTCTAGTTTTCAGAAAACTCGTCTGTTCCTTCCTATCCAGACACAATTTGACCTTGTCACTTATCGGCTTATAACAATGACTTTCTATATGATCGTACACGAGTTAAATGCTTACCCCATTCATCATGTGTGTGTAATTTATTTTTGGTCTGACTATAAATGTTCAGTAAAGCTTGGTCAGGACGAGTTAGCTCACTCCCCTTCACTGCTGTGTCTCATTTCATTTCGTTTCGCTTTCCGCGCTTCGTGTTCCTGATTGTATGAAGTGTACGTATCCGAAATCCACCCTCATATTTGGCTTATTTAATTTCGTTATTCACTAGTGCAACCTAAGCCGATAATTATATGCTAGGGTTGCCGGCATGTATGTTTTGATGAAAATCTGTTAGGTCACGATAAGCATAATGGATGGTAACTTTTGGGATCCATTTATGGACCGGTAGTATACGCATATTATTGGTCCATAAATGGATCCCAAAAGTTACAATCCATTATGCTTATCGGGACTTAACACAATCATCGTACGACCTTAGTGCAGTCAGATACCGGGCAACCAAAAGCATATCAAAGAGCGAATACCTAGATTGGATCACACCTCTTTTCACTCACTTTCAGGTTCGTTTGAAATACTCTCTCAGTCGACATGACCACAACCCACTTAGCAGATAGCTTTACCAAGAGTTTTGATAGTCACGTACTTATATATGGATTGTCGCCCTTCTCATATAATGGCTGTATAAGATGCATGTCTCGTACCTTATTATTGCCATAACTATCGTATTTATTATTTTCATTAATAGCATCATTGTCGTTTTTATCATTATTACTGTCCCAGTAGTCAGTCGTTTAT